CTCATTTATAAGAAAAGAGTGATATTCAAAATGAGTCTGGAACCCAACACACTTAACCCTAAATTAGTTTTCTAAAACGAAAGGAATGAGGTAGAAGTTGATGTGGGGGAGATCAGCTATGGTAGGGTAGGCAATTCTAGCAATCAGCATTTCCTATGTAAAGTGGCTCTCTAAGTCTCCCCCAAAACCTAACAACTTAAGTCACAAAATGGGAACTTGCTGTTATAAAATAGTGATAGATAGCTGTTTACCTATATGGCGGCCATTGTACTTTTGTGTAAAGTCTACCAAAGTAAGATTTAAGAAGTATATTTATGAGCAATAACCTTTCAGAATTTCTCAATTTAAAGAGGTTTAGAGTGCTTGTGCATGATCACAAACTCTACAGAAAAAGAATAAATGTTGTAGTCTTTGACAGTTTAACTGTTCTAGAGAGAGCTACAAGACACCCTGGTGACCATGTGGCTAATCCCCCACTCTAAGGATGAAAAACAGGGATGCTCATGGAGGCTGAACAACTATGATGTCTAACGGCCTCATCCCAATTCAACATTCCTTCAACCATATTCTGTCTCTTCCATTCTAAGTACTCTGATTGCTCATCATACAAACCTCATTTATTCTTTGGGTAGTTTGAAAAAGTTTAAAGCACACATAACAATTTTGAACTGAATGAGATCAAACAGAGATTTAAGGATAATTATATCTTATCATATTTCAAAAACGCAGGCTGAAGCCCATGAAATGAAGAGGTTCTATTTAATTCTCAGGACAAATCTAAAGACAACGTGGAAAAACAAACAAAACAACCCTGCATCCTCTAACTCCTGGCTGAGGGTTCTTCCTCCATATTACAGAACTTCATTTACTTTCAAACTCTTTTATGAACTGCTCAAAAAAGTCATTTATTTTTTCTATCTAAAAAAAGTATGCTAGCTTTCTGTTTTATGCTCTTTGAGGACATACATGAGCATTACTTCAAATGTTTAAAATTATTACTCTATAAAACTAAGTGTTGTCTCACATAAATACTTCTGCTATCATACTGTGCCCACTCACCCTGTTAATAAGTAACGTTATGACAAATAACTTACCAAGAACTGTCAGCTGAATCTTCTTATTTCCAACACCAGGGGCTTTTTTCACTTTGCACTGATATGTGCCAATATCTGACAACTGTAAATTTGTTACATTTATTGATGCGTCACCAGATTTGAGATCACTACTTGTAAAATGTACTCGTCCTTTCAGATCTTGATAGTAGTTATCGTAAATTTTGTCTCCAGAATATAAAATAATCTAAAAGAAAACCAAAATAAAACAGAGAAAAAACAAAACACACACAAAAAAACAAGCAAACTCTGTCTCATTAAAGGAGCTCTGGACACAGCATGCCACTGTGGGATCCTAAAAACAGTAGGAACACAGTATTATGAGAAAACCTCTAATTATTCAAAGTACACATTAAGAAAACAGGAGGAAGTCAATATGATCCTTGAGTATGGTCACACACTCTAACAAAAAAACAAAAAAGACATTTTTTCTTTTGTCTTAACACTAAGTGGGAGGGGTAATATTTTATATTTGAGGGTTCTAGACTCTAATAAATAAAATCATAAAATAAATCTCTTACGATATGTGTGCCCAGGTTAACAGGACCTTTCTGTAAGAGCAAAGACCCCTTCCTAATTCCACTGAGTTTTCTGAGCCGCTGCTATAGGCTTTAATGGAAATAACCAGAGGCTAAATTTAGAGGGAAAATAAATTCTGTGTTAAATATGACTTAGAATTATAATCGTCAGCTCTAACTATAACTAAAATTAATTTAACACACAATAATTTTTCACATTTGCTAAGAAATGTGAAAATCCTTCATTCTGGTCATCTGAGACCCACGGGTCAAGAAGCAGAGGTGCCAAACTCAAACAATAATCAGAAAACATCCTGTGAATAATTTTTATCTGAGATGTTAATTATGAAGAGTACAATCAGAATAAATATCATCTGTAGGAATTTCTCAAGGGCAGGGACTTGAGTTCTTTTCTGTTTCATCGACTTCCCTACCATGCTAACCCCACTCTTAATTCACTAAATAGCTTTTATTTATATATTAAGTGTCTGCTTCTAGGAAGTACTCCACAGCAGTTTGCTAAGTCAATAAAAGAATCAAGTCGAAGGGTCCACAGCTTACTCTGTAAACACAGCTATTACATCATTTGCTCCACCTTCTCGCCACACCCACTGTCAACTACCACACTGAGAAGTCCTCGAAGGAGGCTGTCATATTTTTCTTTGTATTTAACTTTGGACTGCCCCATAAAGTTCCATCTATTTTTCGATTCCTCTTTTTGCTACACTTTAGTAGTCTTTTGAGGAGGGCCTGACAAAGATGTGGCTCCACTGTTAGTTGCTTTGTAAACTATCTTAGTATTTTCCCACAAAGACACTGTTATAAACAGTAGTTAAGAAATGGGGAACAAACATTTACAAGGCAATTTTGATTCCTCTTTGCCACCAGGCAGGATCTACATTTAATCTTTAGCCTGAGGAAAGAGGTGGCTCTCACAGATCAACTTTTGCAAAGTCACTCAGCTAACATGCAAACCAGATCCCTCTGAGTTGGCACAGTATACGTTTATTAACATTTCTATATGGCTTGTAGATGTACAAAATACTTACACATACAGTATTCCAGTGAATTCTCATCACAATTCTGAGAGGTAGGTTTGTTACCATTTTACACCTCGGGAAACAGGCTTATGGAACATGGGAGGCAGTACAGGATAGTGCAAAGGAAAATAAGGTACAAAATGGGGGCGGGGGGGAAGCGGGGGGTCAGAGCGACCTGGGTTCAAACCCCAGCTGTATCTCTTACTAGATGTGTGACCCTGGGCATGTTCCTTCAAATCTCTGGGCCTTCATTTTCTTCCCTTCATGTGTATAATAATAATCCTCAGTTTAGAGTGTTGTTTATATAATTATATAAGTATATATAATTAAAGTATATGAAATACCACAGAGCACATAGTAAGTGCATAATACATGGTAAATGCTTGCTGACTAAAGAGATCACACAGGGAATGAGGATGGAAATACCTTGGGCTCAGCCCTCCCTGCTCCCCCTGCCTGTTAGAATAAAAATATTAAAATAAAGGCTCATCTAATATATAATGCAGCTAAATTCTATGTAAGCATCTTCTTCTGCACCAGTCTCTCCCTAACCCTTCTATTTATTTTCCTTTGGTGTGATCTTACTGTGTTATCAGTTAGAGACTAGGATTTTAACCCACAAATGGGCACTTAAACCCAGTCCCTGGTTGCTCGCTGTCTCACAAGTCCAGCAGGCAGCAAGGCTACGCCTCTCACTCAGGACAGAGCTCCTTCCATGAGGGGACACACAACGCTATAGGGCACACTGTGCTTCTTGGTCTCTAGAAGCTCCCTGTCATGGAGCCTCACTTGTGAGTCTTAAGCCAGAAGCATCTAAGACTGGTGGTCTCCACTCATTCATCTTAAGCATGGGAACAGAGTCCTAGACTGGAAAGGGAGATGGCACTGCACTTGGCAAGGGTGTGAGGCGTATGCAGGACCTCTGTTCAGGGTGCTGGCACTTCAGGGAAACAGAAAGGGGAAAGTAGAGCAAAGTGAGGAGAAAGGGAACACGGTATCTGGACTGAGTGGACAGAATGAGTCAGGCTCAATTCATTTTGCTTACGGAAACAGAAGGAACTGCCAGCAGCAGAACCAGGGGCAGAGATATGTCCTTGGGGGGAGGTGGCCTTAGTCATTCACGACTTGGGAAAGCACCTTAATTATTTCCTTTACAAACTTCTTTTACTGCCTGGACTTGCCAAAAGTAGTAATGACCTAAGTGCACCGATTCAGCTATTAACTGGCTGAATAACCCCTTATTTTATATGGACTAAAAGTAAAAATAAAATTTCTCATCCAAATACATATACAGTTGACCCTCAACATGGGGTACAGGAGTGCCTTCCCCTACAGTCAAAAATCTGCATATAACTGACTCCCAAAAAGTTAACTAAGAGTGTACTGTTGACCAGAAGTCTTACTGATGACATAAACAGTTGATCAATACAACAACCCCTTATTTTATATGGACTAAAAGTAAAAATAAAATTTCTCATCCAAATACATATACAGTTGACACTCAACATGGGGTACAGGAGTGCCTTCCCCTACATTCAAAAATCTGCATATAACTGACTCCCAAAAAGTTAACTAAGAGTGTACTGTTGACCAGAAGTCTTACTGATAACATAAACAGTTGATCAACACAACTTTTGTGTGTTATATTAGATACTATATCCTTAAAATAAAGGCAAAATAAAATGTTATTATGAAAATCATAAGGAAAAAACATTTATAGCTTTAATAAAAAAAAACCCCACATATAATGGACCCGCGTATTTCAAACTCAGGTTGTTCAAGGGTCAACTGTATTACCACATCCTTCTAAATATTTGGACTTATTTTTCGCTCTCTGGTCTAATATAATTTATTAATATTGATTTTATTATTAATTAAATGTCAGATGAAACTAATATGCAACATTCTAAATTAAGTGAAATATTCTGTACCCTTAAAAGGCAAAGGGTGAGATACACACACACACACACACACACACACACATTTGGAGATGAGATTGGGCAATTTTCCTCCTTTGTGCTACTTTTGGTTTTCCAGGTTTTCTATATTATATTAGGCTCTTATTTCTTTGTAATTAGAAAATATTCTATAACGATATTTTGATATTTAATTTTTTTGACTTAAGATTAAATACTTTATAAATTGCTATTTTGCTATGAAGACTGTTTTGCTTCTTAAGAAATTCATTATATAGGATATTTAACTTGAAGAAATAAGGAAAACAGACTTGAATAATACGTAACGATGTTACTCTATATTACACTTGATAACCCTTTTATGGGTAATGGGATCCTTGTGGTAAAGTTAAAAATTCAATTCTATCAAATTCTCACAGTCTAGTTTACTTGCCATCCCTTACCACACATCATACACATTTCTGCCAATCTACTGTGTCTGCTTCACTCTTTTTGACCCGCACACACTTCCCAATCCAAATTTTCACAAGGTTAACAGGTTCCCATGCCCCCCACACCTATGTGATCAGTGCAGTGATGGGCACCTACGACTAGTTCCACAAGACATCTGCTGAGTGAGCAAGCACTTAGCAAACTTACCACTTGGTCCACCTTCTGATTATCAGCCGGTGATAGCAGCCACTCTATGTCCAGTGGTCCCTGGTCTTCAGAACTAAGAGTGAATTTGCATGGCAAATAGGCAGTTTCCCCTTTGGCCTTTTCAATCATCTGGTCAGGAGTAGTAATACTCAAACTTCTGGTGAAATCTGGAAAAAGAAACATACACATGGACTATGCATCTGCACACTCGGCACTCTCAGCCCACTCAGAAGGGCAAGGATGCACGGGATGAGATTTGGGACCAGAGTAACAAGGATTCAAACTCAATGGTGCAGTTTTTAGTTTATGCCTTTGTAAAAATGAAATGAGAATATTAATCTCTCTCTTATTGAATACAACTTCCTTTAATTAAAAGCACGGTGAACTTCCCACCGTGTTTCTGTTTGTAGAGGCCGTTTTATATGCACGTAGATGTTCAAAACTAAATTTCGCTACTAGTGTCTGAAAGGTCAGTTGTGCCATACTAATTCAAGGCTACATTAATTCATGCTTGCCTCGGTGCCACAAACACACTGGGAATTCTTTGTCACTGGGGCACATGCTGATGAATTTTGACATGTTTTCTGCCAAGACTTCAATTCTAAATTTTTATTAAACTTGATTCCATAATTTTTATTGACTGCTTAAAAATATTTCTAAACTAAGAGAGTAGACCCCAAGAGTTCTCATCACAAGCAAAAAAAATGTTTTTTCTGTTTCTTTTTGTGTGTGTGTCTATGAGCTGACAGGTTATATTTCTAAGCAGCAAATTTATGACAATTCAAAAAGAGAAAACTATCAATTTATATTTTAAATTTACCAAATAGTTGACATCAATATTATCTTTAAAACATTTCCTTCATCCCTTCCTATTTCACTTCTGAAAAAGTCAGTCATATTATATTATTTTTTAAAAGACATCTTAAAATTCCATAACTTATTCTAAAATTTATATAAAACTTCCACTTAGATCAACATTAAAAGACAGAATTAATGCTGAATGGTAATATTTGAAAAATATGTAAAAGCCAAAATAAGATGTCCTGAGCCCCAAACAAAAATTCTAAGAAACTCTTCTGATTGAGTTTGTTAAAGAGATGGCTTAAACCCATTGAAACACTATAAGAATTAAAAAAGTGTCTTCCTTGCTGCTAATTGCTTACAACAAAACTATTCTCTTTTCTATGCATAAAAAGTAGAAATAGTTATTGAGCAAAGTGGCACAATTTCTTGATCTACATAAAAGAAGAAATACCAAGCTATATCAAATCACACACAAAAGCAGGTCTGATAAGACTGAAGTTTAAACAAGCCAACTTGATATACAATGCAAATTTGGTCTATAAATGAACTATCACACGAAACCTAATTTTATTTTACTATTTACATTCTAAAAGTCTGCATAGCACTAGTCTGTCAATCTCTGTTTTTCTTATGAGGACTCGACATTTTCTTACGTATAAATTCAAATATCTAATGTATGTAGAACGAATGTTTCAACTAAACAGTAAACTCCAGAAGCTCTACCATTCAGACCTCTACATCTCTCAGCACGGACTTTCGGGGCTGGATAATGACCTGGAAGAGGCCTGAAGCACTAAGATTATGGTACATGGGTCCTGGCTCTCTCTCCTTCTCTTCCCCTGGTCCCACCAGAAAAATAAACACATTAGAGAAAAACTTAGAGTAAGTAAATTCAAGTCCCAACTCTCCATGACTACACTTTGATGCTACTTTTCAAATGATAAATTCCAACAGAACAGACCAAAATGAAGAATTGTTAGCCATCCCATGATCCTTTCCATTAGCCCTACAAGAAGCTAATACACACTATCACTTGTAAAAATGTTAAAATTAAAGCCAATAGATTAAATATAAGAGAAAAGCCTGATTACATTCAAGACCACTTATATTCCAGCACCATTTCTAAGTTTTTAGCTACATTTAAGTGCACTCCTCAAAGAGCAGATGAAAAATGAACACAAACTCTCTGCTCCCTTAAATCAGAGGCTGGCGCTGTGTGAACTTCAAGGCTAGGCTTCGAGAGGTCTTGCTGCCCCCACTCCTGCCCTCTTGGACCCCTGCCACCTGCCACCAAATGAACAAACCACGTAGGAGAGAACTGAGGTGTTCAACCAACAGCTGCAGCCAGCTGAGAACCCCTAGCCCCGTCCTGGAGCACCCAGGACTTCCCATCCCAGGCTAGCCTAAACCGCAACCCACAGGATGAAGAACTAACGTGATTTTTGTTTTAAACCTCTAGAGTTTGGGTTGGTGAGATACACAGAAAGACTGATGATACACCAACCAAACCCACTGAATTCAACCCTAATTAACATTGCCCCAAAAAGTTCATACTATTCCAATCTGCATTTCATGTCCGCATTTCTATTTGAAATTATATGATTTGATAGTTGTGTATAATATCAAGTGTCTCCTCTGAATATTCAACTCTCCAAATACATACTTTTGATTATTTCTAATAAGCTCAGTTCCATTCCTACCTCATTCACCAAAGCATTCTTCTAGCCTACCATGATTTTTCTCTCTAGCCTACCATGATTTTTCTCTCCCATGAATGCTCACAGTATTTTACTTTTTGCCATCTGTATCACCTGCTTGGCCTTAGCATATGCTATCTTAGAAGTTTTTTTCTTTTCCTTTATAAACTTTATTGTGAAGCTAAGGTAGGCTCCACAGTTTTTTCATATCTTCTAGATGGTGATGAGCTTATCTTCTTCCCATACTACTTTCTATTTTTAAGTGAATTTTTAAAATGCATGTCCTGATTTAACATGAAATCACTAGCTCCATTAGGGATGGAGAAATTGTGGGTACCTCTACCTCCTGTTGTAGCTCCTGAGCAGAAAAGAATGGGTGATAGTTTATTAGTTTGATCAAGTTTAGAAATGCTGAGAGTATTAATCCACCAGAATCTGTTCCTGCTGCTTGAAGATCTCCTTTCTACAGCTACTACAATTTGTCATCTGCATCTGTCTGGATATTAATACTTTATGTATTAAAATAAAAACAATCTGAGTGTGCTCCAGAATGAAAATTTCATTCCAAAACAAATCAAGACATAGCCCAAAATATGGAGGTAGGAATATATGAGAATGAAAATTTGCTATATTAAACTTACTGATTACTGTGCTTTTTGGGTATTTTGTAAAAAAAAAAAAAAAGTTAAACAATACCAGACATATAAATGTGTCTAAATTCAAGTCCTAATCTTGCTCTTAGTACTTCTGGGACAGTCAGAATAAAATTCAACTTAGTTTTCATGACAGGATCTTTCATGCTTTCTTCATACATAAAAATTACTTTATCTTAAAAAGAGTACCTTAGAAAAGTTCCATATGTATAAAAATAATTTAGAAAGATATACCAAACTGTTAACAGCAGTTAGTTTTTGAAAATTTAGATTTTAAGAAAGGTGACTGCCTATTTTTACTTTATATTGAGATTTTCTTAATGTGTGTACTGCTAAAGAAATTTTAAATAGACTATTAAATGGCTTTCAGTATTTTTTCCAAAGAATGTTTAAAACATTTAACTGTTCTTCATTGTGTAGTACTAGAGATGAATTAAAACCTCAAGATCATAAGAAACAGTTATTGGGTTCCCTAGCAACAATGAAGGAGCCTCTTTGCACAAAGGCAATTTTTCAAGTGTTGATGTATGCAACAGTCACATACTGTAGAAGACAAAAAGCAGACACTTGGTCCCATGCAGTGTCTCTAGGGATTCTTTCCTAATACTGCCAATTCTATTTACAGAGCAAAGTGAGTGATAATTTACTTTAAATGACTTGCAGGTTCAAACATAGTCTGAAAACTCAATCAAATAAAAAAAATTTTTTCGTAATTTTATTCAAACATATCCAGAGTGTGATGAAATATGTAGCAGATTATCAACAAGTAGTTGCAGGGTCCATTTAGTAAGTGCTCAGTACTAGATTATATAAACAAGCTGAATCACGCCCCATTTTGGCAGTGACTGAAAAAACATCCTCCAGTTTTCTGCTTGCCTTTTTTAAATCTCCAAATTCCAAATCAGTTGGATCTATAGAGTGTCTCCTCTGCCCAGTCTGACTTCTGACTGAGCATCAGAGTGACAGAGTTCATCAGGCTTTTTTAGTCACTGAGGTTGTCAATCTCCTACTGAGGTCTTCGACTTCTTTCTACCCTGAGAATAGAGAACTGAAGATAATGGAAGGCGCTAGTTCCCAAGAAGGCGAGCAACATTTGCAACTGATAACCTGCCTTGATTTCTTTTTTTTTTTTTTTTTTTTTTCAAGATTAAGCTACATGTTAACCTAGATGGTCTGCGGCTATTTTTTTTTTCCTTCTCGCAATCTTAAAATCATACCAAGCTGTGAAGTGCTTATGAAACTTTGTAGTTGATTAAAAAGAGAAAGAAGTAAATGTGTGAGAACTTTTAATGCTCTTTTGAGTGAGGAAGGCCTTAGAGAAAAATTGAGAAGAAACACAAAAACTATAAAGGGAAAGAAAAATTTCACTATATTAAATATTTTAGGCTAGGAAAATCACCAGTTATTAGCATTCAAAAAACAGTTGCTGAATGAATGAAGGGAGGTTTTCTATTATTTTATCACTGAGGAAAGAAAAGGAATGCTTTGAAACATGTTCCCCATGTATTTACCTATTCCAGCAAGATACAAAATGTGAAGTCTGACCAGTGATGGCATACACACAGGGATTTTAAAGATCATGTCTGTGTGTGGAATTCAAGCAGTGACAAGTGAGATCTTTCCTACCCTGTAGCCCCAGTATTTCGCATTTCATTTTGAAGCCCCAAACCATGCTTCCTGATGGTCATTAGTTTCCCCTAGCAGAGTGAAATTTCAGGTACTCAGCTAGAGATAAAAAATACACACCTCGTAGGCACAAGGACCTTCATATAAGAGAAGGGAAACAGAATCTGGCAGAGATGAGAGATGGTCTATTTCAAAATAGTGAAGAAAAGTTAAGGTGTAATATGGCTAAACGTAGGTGAAAATAAAGGAAGACCTTTATCTAAAAGTTAAAGATGGAACTATAGCACTGAAAGTGTCCTGGTCTGGGACCAACTACACAAGGAAACCAAAGATTAGAGGAAACACAAAGGAATAAAGAGCAGTCCCTATTTGTAGAACACTTGTGTT